AGGGAAAGACCTTTCCCACAGAGTCTAACATACAAAACTGTACAATACTCACAGGTCCCACCTGGCTGAGAAATTCAAAAGCCACACTACTGTCCGCGTCAGGACAGATATTACAGACCAGGGAGGAAGCAGCACTTCCACTTGGGAAAAATTTCATTACTTCATTTTACTTCCTTTCTAAATCCAGATGAAAAGCTGACATCTAAAAATGTCCACAAAGTATCAGTCTGAAACTTTCTAGATGTCCTTTTCACAATTATAGATTATGTCATTTCACTTTAGACCCCGTTTATATTTTTAATCACAACTAGATAAAAAGTTCAAAGTCCTTTCAAACTGAAAACATCAGTTGTTGTTAAAGTATCAGCCATTTCAATAATAGTCTAACCTCTTCTCTAGAACAGGAAGTGTGCTGCAATTCCTTTTTTGATAACAGTTTCAGTTTCATTGAAACAGGCTTTTTTATGAAGCGTATTGAATTAGCAGGGAATTAATAATTTCTTTGCTCTGGAGTTACGAGTTTGTCATGCCAGCGATGCATAGCACTGTCTTTCAAAACTGTAAAGGTAAAAAATTTTGCAGACAAGTAATTTGTTCCTGATTGATGTTTTTTCTTAAGTATCGTTAGAGCTGAGAAACTTAAAATTTCATGGGCCTTACCAGAGCGAAGAATGATAAGTGTCCTCTGTGAAATACTGAGAAAGCTAGCATTTGAATGACTATCTTATCCAATATTAATCCTTATTAAAAAGACCACTTTAACCCAATACCACACGTTAAGAAAAATAATAATCAAAATGCGTACAAGTAGCTGTATGCACCTGTTTTTTATTAAAACCTATACAGAGAAATATTTTTAGGATCTTCACAGGTAACACCAAGTGTTTATTATTCTCCTGCGCATGCTTCTAGGGCAAAAAAGAAGACAATGAAACTGAGTATTTTTTCCACTGAGGTTTTGTTTGCTGTCATAAAGATACTACACCCATTTTCCATTGTGCAAATAAAAAAATTACATTACACAGTCATTGTGAACATTCATCCAGAAAACGGTTCGGAAGCAACTTTATCTCAGATGAATGATCAAAATAATTAGATTGCAACTAATTCTTCTAGTTTCCTTTTTGGTGAAAAACGACAATTTAAACAACAAAAGAATACATTACATGATGTTCGACGATAAATGAACCCAAATACTTTGAATGGATGGTCTTTCCTTACTAGGAGAAATTATTTTCATACTTTTATACATTTATACAGATATACATACACAAAAACATTACAGCTACACGTTACCTTTATTAATAAATAAAAATACTGCTCTGTGTTTCTCGTTCAATTCAGGAATCAAACTGCCCAGTGAGAATGAAACCTTCCAGCTGAATGTATGAAACGGTAAGAGAATGAACGGTGCAAATCATCTGCCACGTGTCTTCACCTGCCTTTTTCGTGTGTTCTCCCCTGATGAACTAAAATAATCTCTACATCCATTTCTACCAGATTCTGTAAGTACCAGACACTTACGCAGTAGATTCATAGGCGAAATTAAGCAGGACTCCATCTCCAAGACTTATTCCCAGCGCTTTGCACAGTCCCAGAATTTCCCCCGCGAAGGGCTGCGGCATAAAGAACTCCAATTCTGCTGCTATCGGCCGAATAACTTCGTGGACCCATTTTGGTACGCTTTCACTGCAAAATACACTCAAGGCATTAACTGAGAAAGAGACAAAAGGGTTTGCAACTTAGGCCTGGCAGTCAGACACTCAAGCAGCCAGCCCTCTGGCCAGCCAGCCCCACCCAACGCACACCAACCATTGGCAGCCCCTCCTGCGCTGTATCGGACATCCCTGCATCCCATCCCCCACCGAATCCCCCTGCCTTCAGCACGGCCCCGAAGAAGCCTGCACGACCCGAGCAAAACATTCCACACAGGCTTCCTACTTCGGAGATTTTTTTATTCCTACCAGGAATCTCCCCGGTCTGTCCTCCGACAGGTTCCCAAGTGTACGCATAACGCAGCAGTACTGGGTTAACGCTCAAAAAACGCTCTGAATTTTTGAGTTTAGAGAAGTTCAGCAGCCGTGCAGCATCACTTTGCCCTCTTCGTTCAGGCCCCGCAGCAGCGGGTCTGCCGGGGGGCACAAGGGCTCCACGGCGCCGGGGGGGG